GTATTTTGCTAGAGATTGTGTTGAATCTTTAGATCCATCTGGGGAGTACTGCTGTCTTAAAAATATTTAGTCTTCCAATCCTTGAACATGGGATGCCTGTCTATTAAGTCTTTAATTTCCGTAATCTTTCATGGCCTTGGTGTACAGATCTTGTTCTTATTTTTAAAAATATTTTTGTAAGCTATTATGTAAAAAGAATTGTTTTCTTAATTTCATTTTAGGATTATTCAAATATAGTTGATTTTTAAAAATATTTTATTTATTTATTTTTAAAGAAGGGGGAAGGGAGGAAGAAAGCAAGGGAGAGAAACAGCCATGTGTAGTTGCTTCTCACACACCCCCAACTGGGAGCCTGTTCTGCAACCCAGGCATGTGCCCTGACTGGGAATCCAACCGGTGGTGACCCGTTTGTTTCCAGGATGGCAGTCAATCCACTGAGCCACACCAGTCAGAACTCGTTGATGTTTTAATAATAATTTATATTTTACAATTTTGCCAAACTTGTTTATTTTAATATTTTATTTTTTTTCTTTAGAATTTTCTACATATAAGAACATGTCAATTGTTAATAGATACAGTTTTACCTCTTCTTTCGCTGTCTGGATGTCTGTTATTTATTTATTTATTCCTCCCTCCCTCCTTTTCTTCCTTTTTGCCTAATGCCCTGGCTAGAACCTCTAACACTGTTGAGTAGAAGTGGCAACAGCAGACATCTCTGTCTTTTACTCATCTTAGTGGGAAAAGCATTCAGTTTTCCACCATTAAGTATGATTTCAGCTATGGATTTTTTTATAGGGTCATTTATCAGGTCAAGGATGTTTGTTCCTAGTGAATTGGATTTTTAAAATCAAAACTGGATTTTGTTGATATTTTTGAATTTGAGATGATCATATGTTTGTATTTTTTTAGTTATTAATATAGTATATTATATTGATTAACTTTCAAATGTTAAACAAACTTTATATCTGAGAGTTAAATCCAACTTGGTGTGTAATACTTTTTATATGTAGTTAAATTTGGTTTGTAGTATTTTGTTGGAGATTTTTGTGTCTTTATTCCATAAAGGATATTGGTACATAATTTTCTTGTGAAGTCTCTATTTGGTAGTGGCATTGGCATAATAGTGTCCTCTAAGAATGATTTGAAAAGTTTTTCTTGTTTGGAGGGTAAAATTGGGTAAAGTTTTTTTTATTGGAAAACAAATATGCAACTTGGAATGGATTTGATGCAAATTGTGACATAAGCAGATTTTTGTTATGTGGCTAAACAAAGTTTAAAGAACAAGTAACAATGAAGGCAAATGGTTCTGGTACAGGGCCAGCAGTACAAAAAAAACAGTGTTTGAGTGTCTGGATGATATACCCATTCTGCAGTTGTGCAACTTTTAAGTACATATTGTTGACTGTCCGTAGTACATGCAGATTTACAATCCCACACTTCAACAACAACGTGCTGATAGTTCCTAAAGAAAACTACTTTACAAAAGGCACAACCCAGGTGTTTTCTCATTTGACCAACCAATCTGAATTTAGATGTGCAGAAGGGCTCAGGTTTATCTAGAGTAAGCCACATGCACCATTTACTTGATCAGTTTTTCTGCAGTGTTTCAGAGCAATAACAGTAAGATAAGGAAAGAAAACATGGAGGCATGAAGTCCTAATTACTATACTTGCATATTTTTTGACAGTAGTGAGAAACCTTTTACGGGTAAGTTATAAACAAAGGAAAGGCAAATAAACAATTTTGTACCAGAAATTTAACACACTCAATTTGCTGTCGTTATTTGTACAAGCTCTTTATAGTTTTCTTGACTATCACCATCAATATGTTTCCCTGATCATTTCATCATCATCTTCATTTACTAACTTCTCTCCAAGGTGTGTTGTTATTCCATGGTGAAGCTCTGCTGCACTGATACTGCTGTTGCCATCCTTATCAAACAAACACATGGAATGCTTCTCTGATTTCTTCTTCATCCTCTATGTGTCTTTCATTTTTCTTGATATCAGAAAGTCCACTTTATTCATTGCATCTTGTAACTGCTTCTAATAGGATTCTGCCCAAGAAACCTCATTGCAATTCCCAATTCCTTTGTTGTTATAGTTCCATTGCCATCCTTCTCAAATAGTGAAAAAGCTTTGAATTCTGCAGTTGGTCAGCCATGCTGCAAGTGTTACTGATCTGTAGTACGTGACCACATAACCACTCAGCTTGCTTGCTCCTCTTGGACTTGAGTAGTTGTTCTTATGCTTTTGTTTATTTAAGAATTTGTGGTCCTGCTCTGGCTGGTGTAGCTCAGTGGATTGAGCATGGGCCTATGAAGCAAAGGGTCGCTGGTTCGATTCCCAGTTAGGGCACATGCCTGGGTTGCAGGCCAGGTCCCCAGGAGGGGACACATGAAAGGCAACCACACATTGATGTTTCTCTCCCACTCTTTCTCCTTCCCTTCCCCTCTCTCTAAAAATAAATAAATAAAATATTTTTTTTAAAAAAGAAGAATTTGTGGTCCTGATTTTAGTGGCCAAGATGGAGGTATAGGTGGAAACACTGTGCCTCCTTGCACAACCAAGTTTAAAGACAATAAAGTTTTAGTAACAAAAGCTCAACCAAAAAAACAGAAAATTGAACTGTACAGAAGTCCAACAACAATGAACCATTCAGCCAGACTGGTAAGAGGGGTGGAGTCAGCAGCTGGCAGAGTGGGTCAGGCATGAAGGATTGGCCTGACGACCCAGGTGAGCAGGAGGCAGTTGGCAGATCCCAGGTGTGGGGTGGCAACGGGTGGACCCAGTGAGGGCTCAAGGTGGCTGGCTGACTGCGGTCACACATTCGTGCGCAGATAAACCAGGCGAAGGAGTGGGCAGTGAGACAGACTGCACAAACTAAGGCCTCAGCGACAGGAATTAAAGTCTAAAAGCACCAACTGGAAAAATTCTCGGGGTCGAGGTACCAGGAGAAGCTCCCAGGCTCACAGAGAGTTTGTTGGAGAGACCCACAGGGTCCTGGAAGGTGCACAGGCACAGGCCCACACACCCGAAAGCCAGCACGGGGGGGCTGGGGGGGCCGGTTTGCTTGCGGGTAGCAGCAGAGGGGACCGAAATTCGAGAGAGAGAGAGCGGAACAAATACCATTGCCCCTCTCTGACCCTACCCCCACATATAGCATCACAACCCAGAGACCTGGGTTGCCCCACCCTGGTGAACACCTAAAGCTCCACCCCTCATACACAACAGGTGGGAACAGACCAAAGCATTATGGCTAGAGAAGAACAGCTCAAAGCCCCAGAGCCAATACTTCTAAGCGACCAAGAGATTGCCAACCTTTCAGATGCACAGTTCAAAGCACTGGTGATCAGGATACTTACAGAACTGGTTGATTTTAGTCACAAATTAGAGGAACAAATGAAGGCTAAACTAAATGAAATGAAGGGAAATGCACAGGAAACCAATAGTGATGGAAAGGAAACTGGGACTCAAATCAAGGGAGTGGACCAGAAGGAAGGAAAAAAATGACCAGAAAAGAATGAAGAAACAAGAATTCAAAAAAATGAGGACAGGCTTAGGAACCTCCAGGACATCTTTAAATGTTCCAACATCCAAATTATAGGGGTACCAGAAGGGGAAGAGGAACAACAACAAGTAGAAAACTTATTTGAAGAAATAATAAAGGAGAACTTCCCTAACGTGGCAAAGGCAGCAGAAGTCTACTTCCAGGAAATCCAGGAAGCTCAGAGAGTCCCAAAGAAGTTGGACCCAAGAAGGAACACACTGAGGCACATCATCATTACATTAGCCAAGATTAAAATGAAGGAGAGAATCCTAGAAGTAGCAAGAGATAAGGGGACAGTCACCTACAAAGGAGTTCCTATCAGACTGTCAGTGGATTTCTCAAAAGAGACCTTACAGGCAAGAAGAGGCTGCAAAGAAGTATTCCAACTCATGAAATCCAAAGACCTACATCCAAGATTGATCTATCCAGCAAAGCTTTCATTTAGAATGGAAGGGCAGATAAAGTGCTTCTCAGATAAGATCAAATTCAAGGAGTTCATCATCACCAAGCCCTTATTACATGAAATGTTAAAGGGATTTATTTAAGAAAAAGAAGATAAGAAATATGAACGGTGAAAGACAGCAAACTCACAGTATTAACAACCACACCTAAAACAAAAGCAAAGTAAGATGACAGCTAGATCAGGAGTGGAACCATAGAAATGAAGATCACATGGAGGGTTAGCAACAGGGGAGTGGGAGGAGAAGGGGGAGAAGGTACAGAAAATAAGTAGCATAGATGGTAGGGAGAAAATAGATAGGGGGGAGGGCAAGAATAGTAGGGGAAATATAGAATCTAAAGAACTTGTGGCACATAGACATAAACTAAAGGGGGAGAAATGGTGTGGGAGGGGGTGTACAGGGTGGAGGGGAATGAAGGAGGGGAATGGAACAACTGTAATGGCATAATCAATAAAATACATTTACAAAAATAATTTGTGGTCCTGGCTGGTGTGGCTCAGTTGCTTATAGTGTTCTGTAGACTGAAGGGTTATGGCTTCTATTTCCAGCCAGGGCACATACCCAGGTTCCGGGTTTAAACCCCAGTCTGGCTGCATATGGGAAGGCACCTAATTAATGTTCCTCTCTCCCATCAATGTCTATCTTTCCTCCTTTTCCTCCCTCCCTCCCTCGCTCTTTTGCTCCCTTGCTCACATCCTCTCTCCCTATCTATCTGAAAGCAATGAAAAAAAATTCTTATGTGAGGATAAAAAAGTGTTTGTGAAGGATTGGTATTAATTCTTTAAACATTTCGTAGAATACAACTGGGCCTGTGCTTTTTTTATGGGCAGTTTTAAATTACTAATACAGTATAGTATTTGTGTTAAGACTAGTTATAAATAAACATTCGTCTTCCAAATACCTATTGATATTTAGCTGTTCATTCAACCTTTCTCTCCCATATAGTATTCAAATACAAAGAGATTTTAACTTTTTTTTTTTCCATTAAAGGTCTGTGATTACTTTGGAATCATTAAGCATGGCGTCAAAGAAATTTGCTGTTAAAGTAAGTAATGCTTAATAGCCTTCTTTAAAATGATTAATCACTTTCTAGTATATCTAAGTTCTATACTAATTGAAAATAGAAGCTCTGAACTTTTCTTCTCTTTAAATTTGGTTCTGCCCTGGATGATGTTGCTCAGTGCATTCAGTGCTGGCCTGTGAACCAAAGGGTTGCTGCTTCAATTCCCATTCAGGGACACATGCCTGGGTTGCAGGCCAAGCCCTCATTTGGGGGCGTGCGAGAGGCAACCGATTAATGTATCTCTCGCACATGATGTTTCTCTCCCTCTCTTTCTTCTCTCTAAAAATAAATAAAATAAAATCTTTAAAAATAATTTGTAAACTTGGTTCTCTGCTGAAAACTTTAGTGGGTGATTGAAAATTTGCATGTTAAGAATGAGGTGGAGGAGAGAATTGGTAGTTTATATGGTTATGGGAGTTGCTTCTGCCCAGAAGGCATAACTTGGTTCTTAACTTTAGAAATTGTTACTCACATTACATGTCCATGACATAATTTTTGATTCTGACAAAGTGGATGAAGATAAAGAAGTAGGCATCAAGTGCTGCACCGAGTAAATGGCAGGAGAGAGTTCTCTTGAGTGGTTGCCCACTTCACTTTCTTCTTAGAAGTATCTTTTCTGTATCCCTTAATGGTTGGGGTTGGTATCTTCTCAGGTGTGAAGGCATGGGAGGATCACATATGAGGGAAGGGTGGGGGAAGAACTGATAAATAGTGAGTGTAAGGTTTAGAAGATGCTTGCATATATAGTGGCTCTTCTTTAGGACATTTTCTCTGTTACTGTTGTATTAAGTATGCATTTAAAACACCAAAATGGACAAATTAGTTAACCAGATGAGATATTACTTAATATTATAGTTGTATCTCTTTAACATGTCAGTACTTACTTAGACTTACAACATATTTATAAATTTTATTGCTTACAATTATTTCTTCTGTCCCACGTGTTCTGTAGTGTTTCTCTCTGTGAGAGATTAAGTGGTGAATTTTTACTATTTGCCTGTCTAAAAATATATTTTGATCTTACTCTAGAAAGATATATACTTTGTGTTAGAATTCTACGTTGAGCATAATTTTTTTCTCAGCATTTTAGAGATATCTCTGGAATCTGTTATTGCAGCTGAGAAATGTTTTAATTATCTATTTAAAATTTAAATTTAGTGGATTAAAAATGAGCCATTTTATGCTTTCTCATGATTCTGTAAGTTGCTTGGTATCAGTGGTCTGTTCTTTTGCTGTTGCCTGGGTCTGTAATTACATTGGCTCTCAAATTAAATAGAGCATTGAAGATGACTACACACATGGCTGTCAGTTAGTATTTGAAGTGGGTGGAATCATACCTGGGGCTGTTAATTGTTGCCCTCCAAGTTGTCATTTATGTGGTTGCTGTATGTGGATTCAGCTTCTCCTAACATGGTGTTTGAGATTTGAAGGATGGTGACCCACAGCCAGAGTTGCAAGAAGAAAGAAGTTTAATTTACCAGTCCTCATCTCAGGGTCCACTTCTGCTGCATTCTGTTGGTCAGAGCATTCTAAGCACAGCCACAGGAAGCTGCACTTCTCAATATAAGAAGCAACATGTACTTACAGGGAAGGGGAAGATTGCTGGGTGCTCTGTGCAGACTAGTTACCACAGCAGTGTGCTCTCCACCTCACTGTGACTCCTTTCTTGGTTGTCTGTCTTGCGCTTTAGGTTTATTTTTTTGTGTAATCTGTAGTTCTACAATTAAATCTTGAGATACAGACTTGTGTTTATTTAGCTGACTTGGGATGCAGTATATTGTACATCTTCATTTGGAAGATTCAAATTTTTTATCAGTTTTGAAAAATCTCAATAATTTTCTCTTTGGGTAGTGCTTCTTTTTATTCTCTGTCTGCATAATCTCGGTTTCAGCCAAGAAGAACTTGGAAGTATTTTATAGAGTTTGTTGGATAGTCTCATATAATAGTTTCTTATATGCTAGAGGAGAAATACTTACTTATCCAGGACTGAGCCCCTGTAAGCTGTCTTCTCAGAAAAGGACTGGACCTCTTGCAAAGCTCTGCCTAAACTGGCTATGGCCCAGTAGAGCAATCCTGGATGATCGCAAAATTTGGACCCCAGCCCATAATTATGTCAGGGATGGGTCTCTCGACTTTCAGGCCATACCCACTGATGTGGCAAATTCTCTACCATGTTTTCCCCATCTCACAGTCACACCGTGAATACTTAGAACCTAGCTCCTGATTCATGCCAGGCAGGGCGGTTAACCTAACCATGAGTATCAAGGTAGCAGGTTAGGGATAGCAGCAAGTTTCTGAAACATGTGAAAGATTTTACACATCACATTGTGATTGTATGCTTTCCTTTGATCACACAGGCAAAGGGCCAGTGCTTTCCTAACCATGCAGCTTAAAAGCCTTACAACCCAAGTACTGGGATCCCATTCTGAATATGACATCTCACCCTTCCAGAGTGCTGTGAACTGCCTGCCTACAGTGTCATGGTTGGAAGGAGACATAGACACTTAGTGATGCTGTTACCATGTGCTTTCTCTGATGAATCCGTTCCAGCAGGCGTGTATGAGTGCTGCTTGGCTATTTGCCTTTTTCTGTTTCTCTTCTCTATGTCTCTGTTGCATTCAGAGTTCTTTTTGTCAAACCTCTTTCAGTTAATTAAAACCTTTCATCCATGTTTAACCTGCTATTTAATCTGCATTTAATATACTCTTTAACTTGTCTATTTTTGGTTATTTCTTTTGAATTCAAATTCTGCCAGTTCTTTTTTTATATACTTCTCTTATTTTTCAACCTGTTTCCATTTCCTCTGTTTATGTCCTTCATAATTTTAGAGTAACTTATTTCATAGTCTATTTTAGATTGTTCTATTATTGCTGCCATTTGTTTATTAAGTATGGAATATATTGATTGAAATTGCTGGATTGTTTATATGTATACTTTACATACATACATATATATATATATATATATATATATATATAATTGATTATGCTATTACAATTGTCCCATTTTCCCCCCTTCATTCCCCTCTACCCTGCATACCCCCCTTATTCCTCCACTGTAGTTCATGTCCATGTGTCATACTTATAAGTTCTTTAGCTTCTACATTTCCCATACTATTCTTACTCTCCCCATCTATTTTCTACCTACCATCTATGCTACTTATTCCCTGTACCTTTTCCCCCTCATTTCCCCCCACTCCCCCACTGATAACCCTCCATGTGATCTCCATTTCTGTGGTTCTGTTCCTGTTCTCGTTGTTTGCTTAGTTTGTTTTCGTTTTTGTTTTAGGTGTGGTTGGTAATAATTGTGAGTTTGCTGTCATTTTACTGTACATATTTTTTATCTTCTTTTTTTGGATAAGTCCCTTTTAACATTTCATATAATAAGGGCTTGGTGATGATGAATTCCTTTAACTTGACCTTATCAGGGAAGCACTTTATCTGCCCTTCCATTCTAAATGAAAGCTTTGCTGGATAGAGCAATCTTGGATGTAGGTCCTGGCCTTTTATGACTTGGAATACTTCATTCCAGCCCCTTCTTGCCTGCAAGGTCTCTTTTGAGAAATCAGCTGACAGTCTTTTTTTTTTTAAGATTATTTGTTTTTTTTTAATATATTTTATTGATTATGCTGTTAGAGTTGTCCGATTCCCCTCTTTTATTCCCCTCCATCCTGCACACCCTCTCTCACCCACATTCTCCCCCTTTAGTTCATGTCCATGTGTCATAAGTTCTTTAGCTTCTACATTTTCCATACTATTCTTGCGCTCCCCCTGTCTATTTTCTACCTACCATCTATGCTACTTATTCTCTGTACCTTTTCCCCCTCTCTCCTTCTCTCACTCCCTTGTTGCTAACCCTCCTATGATCTCCATTTCTGTGGTTCTGATCCTGTTCTAGTTGTTTGCTTAGTTTGTTTTTGTTTTTGTTTTTGTTTTATGGGCACTCCTTTGTAGGTAACTGTCCTTTTCTCTTTCTTCTTTTAAGATTCTCTCATCTTTCATCTTGGCTAATGTAATTATGATGTGCCTTGGTGTGTTCCTCCTTGGGTCCAACTTCTCTGGGACTCTGAGCTTCCTGGACTCCCTGGAAGTCTATTTCCTTTGCAAGATTGGAGAAGTTCTCCTTCATTATGTCTTCAAATAACTTTTCAATTTCTTGCTCTTCTTCTTTTCCTTCTGGCACCCCTGTAATTCAAATGTTAGAATGTATAAAGTTTTTCTGGAGGTTCCTAAGCCTCTCCTCATTTTTTTTGTGTTCTTGTTTCTTCATTCTGTTCTGGTTGAATGTTTATTTCTTTCTTCTGGCCTAAATCGTTGATCTGAATCCTGGTTTCCTTCCATTCACTGTTGGTTCCCTGTAAATTTTCCCCTCATTTCACTTTTCATAGCCTTCATTTTTCCCTCTAATTTGTGACCATATTCAACCAATTCTGTGAGCATCCTGATTATCAATGTTTTGAACTGTGCATCTGATATGTTGGCTATCTCTTTGTCACTTAGTTGTATTTTTTCTAGAGCTTTCATCTGTTTTTTCATTTGGGCTGTTTTTTGGTCTTGGTGGGCCTGTTACATAGTAAGGGGCGAAACCTTAGGTGTTCACCAGGGCGGGGCAACCCATGTTGCTGCGTTATGACACTGTATGTGGGGTATGTGTGGGGCTGGGGTCCAAGAAGGAACAGTGCTACTTGCTCTGTATTCTGCTGGTTTTCAGTCACTTCTCTCAATACCCACAATCAAATTGGGCCCTTCTGGTGCTGATTCCTGGGTGAGTTGGTTTGTGTACATTCTAGGACCTTGTGGGTCTCTTCAGCGAACTCTCCCGTGAGCCTGGGAGTTTCTCCCACTGCTGCCTCAACCCTCCCAGGTGTTTTCAGTCAGAGGTTTTGAGGCTTTATTTCCTCATGCTGGAACCGTTGGTGGTGCAGTCTATGTCTCTTCCCAGTTGTTTTTCCAAATTTATCTGCACGCAGATGTGGGACCGCC